GTAACACTACACTTCAAATATAAACCAGCATTAAAGTACAATTAAAGGTTGCTGCAATAATAGGTATTGCCATTCTACAATAACTAAAAATTGTAAAACTTTGATTATAAATACAAACTGGCTTCAGAGCCAACTGATGTCTGTATCAATAATGAATGCTACCATTCTATGTTGACTAGCCCCTGATCAGGCTCACATTACAGAACATGATGATGATTTATTTAACTCAGCTCGGTTTTACAAGATATATTAGGTTAAATTTCCACAGCAACTAAACACAGAACAGCAAAGGAATAAGGGGGTAAAATTTAGCAATAAAATAGGTAGCGAGCTAGGATCATCCAAATCACAAAGGGTAATCTAGTGGATGACCCCTAATTATGAGAATACAGTTAAGGGCAAAATTTATAATTTTTTTTTAATTAAAAAAAAAGGAAAAAAAAAGTATTACTTTATGCACTAAAGTAGGTAATTAAAAAGAATAACAATTAAGTATAGAGTTCTTCAGGATTTTACAAAATATTCTAAGAGAATTTGAATTAGTTCTACTTGTAGGTAAGGAATTCCAAAGGCGAGGGCCAGTGAATTTTAGGGACCACAGGCCATATTAAGTAGTATCAACTGAGGCTACATAAAGATTTCTGTTACATGATTGCCTCATTGAATAGGAATGAACAGAAGATGTAAATTTGAAATATTTACTGAAACAAGGGGCTAACGGTCTATGTGTTCTCTTTGGAACAAGAGTTTCTCTACCTAGCAACAGAAGCTGGCAAGGGGTCTACCACTCATAATAAGGAGTTTAGGAAACGACAACAGTGATACCATAGATGATGTCAGTTAAAATATCAACTTAAAATTTTAAATGTGAATTTTGTGTTTCAATTAATTCATTTAGTTTATTTCTCATTGTCAAAATCTCTGTTTGTTATTTCTCCCTAATAGCTGCTGCACATTTCCTGGTTAATAGGTTACAAGAATTTGGTGTTAGATCAAAATCAACTCTACCTGATTAGTTTGAGTATTCTCATTACCTGCTAGATAACATATGAATATTATGGAAGAAGTTATGTGTTAATCACTTTTTGGGGGTTGAAGGGCTAAACTGGCTCACAGCTGTCAACCTCTGAAATATGAAATGTGAAGATGTTTCATTTTTTATCACATAATTTCTCCTGTTAATTTACTTGAATGCTATGTCAAAACTGATGAAACAAAAAGTTACCAAATACAGCCATTCTTGAGTTGGAGAACCATAAATGGTTTTAAAGGAGATATTTTCCTCCTTGAAAAAACAAAGTATATCTAAATTTATTTTTATTCAAGAAATTTGTCAAGAAACAATATGGGAGAGCAAGAGACAAATAAGGTATCTGCTAGATTTGACAGGTAAAAAAAACTGTTATGTATTCAGCTCTAACAAATTGATGGTTTTTTAATTGCTACATGCCCAACTGTTTGGAACAAAACGTTCTAATATGACAGAATACAATTCACAAAACAAACACAATTTGACTAATATTTTGAAGTACAGCAAACAACTCAAGATACTGAAAGTTCTGGAAATTTTATCTGATGATTGCTACTAAAAAAAAAAAACACGCCTTTGTTCCTTGTTGAGTCAAGCATTTCACTTTCCTCCCGAATTGTTTCAAACTTAACCTGAAAATCGAAAGAGCCATTAAAACGACTTTTGGCAACATAGGCGGCACGGGAGTTTGAATGTCATGTTGAACAAACAAATGCAATATCATATCTTGAAAAACGAATTTGTGTTCATAAAAAGTTATTGGACCCATGCAGATGTTCTGACGTAAAAAAATTAATAAGTTTCTTAAGATGCAGTTTCTTTCCCTTAGAAAGTAAACCATGAAACAAAAAAAAAAAACTTCCTTTGAGAGATTGATATTTCTTAAAATCGTACTACTTTTTTTTCTTCACAAAATCCCCTATCAATATCTTCCTCTAGTTACAGTGGCCACTGAAAATTTAGACGATAATTTTTCTTGCGACAAAACAATAGATATCTGAAATGATGCAAACAGCACGCGTGAGTTTCGTGCATTACGCCAATTTGCATACGGAAATTAGTAGGTCATAAACAGATGTACTGTCGCTTTATGTCGCTTCTGAATAAGATATTGAAAGATTTACTAATTAGACAAAAAGAACAACACCTAAATTCGTCTAATTCTAAAATATTGTGAGATACAGGCCGTAGTGAACTGGAATTGAGAGAAAACTACGCTTTTTGGTGAACTGTTGTGAACCACTTTGAAAACTGAGAGTGGTGACAAAACAAAAATTTAAACAATTTAACAAAATTCTGCTCCAAATAAACAAAACACCTGTACTCCCACAGAGTGATGTGGTCCTAATACATTGAATAAATTTAATTCTGTTCAAGAAAATATCTTAGCGTTTAATTTTGTTTATTTCGGAAAATTTGTGGATATTAACAGGGATGTCTTCGAATATTTTAACCACAAGGACAATTTATGTTGCCAGGATAAATTTATCTAAGAAATTAGGCCCTGCATTCAACAGAAAATTAGCGCTGTCTGGGTGTTTATCTGCCGCCAATTCTCGAGAGATCAGATGCTATCCGAATAAACAGTAGACGGCGTAAAAAGGAACATGAAATTATATCCTCCTAGAGAAGATTATACTCTAAATTTCTGGTAACTAATAAAACATCACTGATCAAACTTTTAATTAAGAAATTGAAGCTTTACATACCCGGCCTAAGGATACCAGATGTCGAAACAGGCCCATCCTCGAGAATTCGGTTGACGAGAATAACTCCACCGACATTTTTAATTGTGCAACCCAGCCCTTGCCCTTTCTCTCTCTGAATAGTTATCCTTTTGAGTCCTCCAGTTAGTTTGGTGCTTTTTCTCCTCACTGGGTCGTTTTCCTCTTCGTTGAGCTCGTTCTCCTTTGCTGTCTGTACTGATCGCATCCACATTTCTCTGTCGAGCTCAGAACTACAACTGAAGCTGAAGAAAGGCTTCCCTTCTACGATCAAATTAAAACAGTGCTTTTTCTTTTTACTCTCGAACTTCTCTATGGATTCAATGTCCATCAGGAAGATCCTCGCTTCCGCAGTTCGTCCTCTTTTCTGGTCATCTTCCTTCTTGAATGTGCACAACATCTGTCGGTTCAAAACTACAAACCGAGGGCGCCATTGCTTTAGCAAGCTAGTCTTCTTATGAAGGATTCCTTCTTTGATGACTCGCCTCTTCATCTTCATGTCCCGTTCTGCCATGATACTGTTTTGCCAACCAATTTAATATACTCTAATCTGACAAAACAACGCTAAGAATGTAGGTCATTTTTAGCATTGAAGGTGTTTAGCAGCTTTGCTGTTGCTATATCATACCAGCTGTTACTCGCCCTCCGAGCTACCCACGTAATCTTTCACCACTTCAATTGACATCTAAGGCACTTGGACTCGTGATACATGCACTTCAAATAAGGTTTGGCCTTCTTACTATGTACCGCTAGAAAATATTGGATTTGAAACCCTCAACAACAAAGTTGTTTCCGCACGAATACACGATCGGCTTCTGCCGACGATCATTTATCCTCTTCCTGGCGGGCCCGCCAATGACGACTTCCGTTTCGCATGTAAGCCATAAAAGGGCAGTTAGCCACGTGACTTACAACAGTTACTGTCGGCATATGACGTCATGATCGGATGGTGTTCGGTATCGGTTCGTTAAGCCCCCGCATTCTTGCACGAAGTTGAGTGATGATAATTTCCGTTAAGCCAATTATACCAATTCATAACTTCATGGAGAATATTTTCGAATCTTATTATGGCAAAGATCCCTATGGCAGACAAAAAACTAGTTTCAGAACAAAAGAAATTTGCTAACATTACCTCTCAACCATGAAATGCGTATTTCTTTGGTCAAAACATTTTCTCTACATTTAAGGATGTTATTGAACCCAACTTCACACTGTTTGAGCAACAGACAGTTTGCATAATTCTGATTAGATTCCTGAAAAGGCAAACAAAAACACCCTTTCCCCAAAGCAAGAATGAAAACAGTGAAGTCTATATTGCTTATCATTTGACAGCCTCAGACAAAAATTTGTAAAAGAAACCAATTCCTAACTCTCCAAAACTCACATATGTTGTAATATACACTGTCACGCACGATATTTAATCATATGGCTAGCCTGAAATGTCAGCTTTTACCTAACCAATCTCATTCACATGGGTGGCACCTTATTTGTATAAAGGCAAGGTAAGCAACTGAAACTTCAGAAACTCACATTACATGAACCTTTCAAATATAAACACCTCCATAGAGCAATTCAATTACCCGAGTTACAATCCTTTTCATGGGAACAAGGAGATAGAAATCTCCGATTGGTAATGGCAACAGGACTAAGTCAAGTCCAATTTGCATTCGCAATAGGTCCGAGTGGAGTTCAATTCAGACTGTAATGATAGAAGTGATAAACAAAACCGTAACACAGCAAAGCAGAAATCTGATTTGTTAGTTACCAGTATGACCTCAGACAGAATTGGACAACATTGGGTCCTGTTACAAATTAATCAAAACTGAAAAAATTTGAGAGACAAACTAACCTTTGGTAATAATTTTTCACAAATGACAATAATTGACTTAGAAAAATGTAAGACAACTGGGTGCACACATGATAAATTAAAAAACCGGGCAAAGGCATGCCTTTAGTAATTTTAAATTAGTTTAAGTTTTAAGTGTATACAGACTGGAATGTTTAGCCATTTTAAATTACCGATTGTAAATGTTAAATAGGTGTTAGTTGATCCTATAATGTATTTAGTTAGTGACAGATGAAGAGCCACTTAGACTTTCTCAAAGTCGTTCGCTTGGTTTTCTGTTCTGGTGTGGTAGGACTCGTACGACCTGTGAGCAAGTCTAAGAGCCACTCCGAGGAAACACATTCAATAAACTTTACTTTACTTATTACTTTACTAAACTTCCTCCAAATACACAGAAATGAGGCCTAAACTGTCTCATCAGTGCAAAAACAAGGCTGGTGATAACCAATCAAGTTCAAGAATTCTGTTATAGTCTATATTAGAGCAGCTACTATGGAGTTTGAACACAGAAAATCAATTTGAATATGTTTTACCAGCCAGTATGCTTCAGGAAAAATCTGTCCTTCTTCTCTCAGAACTTTAGTACATTACAAAACATTTGATATAGTAACCTTGTGTCCCCAACATTAAAATGAGTACTTAAATAACATATTTGTGCATGATCCTAGCAGTAAAGAGCACTATTTAAGCAATAGTGAAAATCAGACCTGGAAAAATTCAGGCCTGTACGGGATTCAAACCCCTGACCTCTACGATACTAGTGCAGCGCTCTACCAATTGAGCTAACAAGCCGACTGGGAGCAGGTCATCAAATTAATTCAACATAAACCTGTAAGATGATAAATCAAACACAACCAATAAATGAAATTCATATATCTGAACTGCGGTTAAAGAAACATATTTCTGCTCAATCCTCGCAGTAAAGAGCACTATTTAAGCAATAGTGAAAATCAGGCCTGTATGGAATTCGAACCACGATGACCTGCTCCCAGTCAGCTTGTTAGCTCAATTGATAGAGCGCTGGCACTAGTATCGCAGAGGTCAGTGGTTCGAATCCCGTACAGGCCTGACTTTTTTTCAGGTCTGATTTTCACTATTGCTTAAATAGTGCTCTTTACTGCCAGGATCGTGTACAAATACATTTCTATAACCACACTTCAGATATTCGTTGTGTTTGACATAAACAACGGTTACTAATAACACAAAACAAAGAATCTTTTCAGAAACATTTTAATTCACATTCTCGACAACATTTATTAATAATAATAATAATAATAAAGACTTTATTATTATTTATGACTGTTGTTGCTGAGCTGCCTGTTGTTCTGCTGGCATCGAACGAATGATGTCTGAGTCACCAGGATCTGTGATGCTGAGCACTGAAACACGGAAATACTTGCCGCAGGCAGTACCAAGTTCGATGTTATTACCCGTGTAGTGATGGACTCCAGTCTTGGCCAACATGGCATAGTATTCAATCTCACTTTTCCTGTAAATGAATACAAAATATCACAGGGTTTCAATTTTATTTATTATCTGATTATCTGCTATACAGGCAGGGATGGAAAACTTGTGTTAACAGGTGAGAATGCTGTTTTTTATATTTATTCAGCCTAGTGTGGAAGGCTCCTTGAAAAGCAGAAGTTTGAGAAAAAGGGGCTCCATTGTCATTAGGGCTTGACACTAACTCTTTAACTTACTAGCCAAGGGGCTTGTGACATCTTAGATGTTATGACAATTTCAGTCTGTTCACTAGCCAGATTGGCTGGTGAAAATAAAAAACCACCAGCCAAAACTGAATTCCTACTAGTCTGTGGCTAGTTGGCTACCGTTAGTGTCCAGCCCTAGTCATTACAATTTATTTAACCTTTTAACCCCTCAAAAATAACTAGCATCTAATTTCTCCATACAGTATAAAAGGATATAGTAGAAAACTATAGAAGCTCTTGAATGTGATAAAATTAACTTTGCCAGTAGCATAGGACACATGTAGAGAACAGTACAGAAAATATGCAAAATAATAATAGAGTATGCACAGTTTATGTGAAATTTGTTCTTTAATACCTTACCTGAGCTGAGGTGTGTTATTTGAGATGATAACAAGTTTAGCCTTGCCCTGTCGGAGTGTTTTAAGAGTAGACTTGTATCCTAAAAAGAACTTCCCACTTTTCATCACAAGTGCCAGACGAGAGTTGATACTCTCCATTGCCTTTTTCTAGAGGAGGACACATTTTTGAGATTAACTTTTTTCTCTCAGCATACTTTGGTCAGCAATTAAGAAACACAGGAATTAAGTGACATAAAAGTCAGGTTAGGAGCCAAGTGGCCTGCACTTACTTCTGGTTTCCATAGCATGAAGCAACTAGGAGAATTTCTACTCCCCCCTGGATGGGATGTTAGTCCATCACAGGTTTACCCATAACCTGCCCACTGGCTTGTTGCATGTAACTTTCTTGAGCAAGATTAGGGTACACCCCTAAAACTCATTTTGCACACAGTTCTTTAGCTCATTTTTCCCCTTATTATATTAGCAATTCTCCTTACTATCTGCCATACAACAGCCCATTTCCGAATTGCCTTTAGCCTATTTTTCAAACCAAGTCCTGGTGCTCATCCTTTCGTATCGTAATAATTTTTCACTCACATGCAAATTAAACTTCTTTTCATACATATAGTTGAGCACCAGGCTTCATTTTGAAAAAGAGCCCAAACATAAGTCGGAAATGGCCTATACTAATGATGCTGGTTTTAAGAATTTTTTATTGGATCAATTAATAATCCATCTGATAATATTTTTCTTTAACCTCATCACTTGTCTGCTTGATATTGTAAGGAGAAATTCTGTCTTGGTCACTCATGGGAGTTAAAGTGTTAATGTCGAAAAAACTTTCACAAAACAGTGTATTACGTTTGGGACTAGGGTTTTGTTTCCGGGACTACACTGAAGTCCTTGCCTTGGTTCATACAAAACTGTGGTTACAACATACTGAAGGAACTTATATAACCCTAAACTTGCTTCAGCACTGTTTATGTCACTTTTACCAATTGTGAGGATTTTATAAATATGATTTCGACGACATAATACAGATCAGTCCTTTAACCCTTTAACTCCCAGAGGTGATCAACATGTAACTTCTCCCTAAAATATCCATACATTATCCAGCAAACAGATAACGAGAATACTCAAACTTATCAGGTAGACGTAGTTATATTGATCAACACCAAATTCTTGTCACTCATTTACATGGAAAGTCTAGCTGTTAGAGGGGAGAATTAACAATCAGATATTGGGATTAAACGATTTATCTGAACACACGGAATGATTGTGACCAAACATTTGTGCAGTGTAAACCAGTATCATGTTATTTCGAATTCTCTGCATAGACGTGATGACGGTAAATTACGGTGTACAACTATGCAACAATTACTCATCAGGCTAAGATGCAAGTTTTCCCTGTACACACGCCAAATAACAACACTAAAAATAAGCCAACAAAATCATGCAAACTTTGAGATTGATCATTACAAGTTTTACCGATAAATGCACGTGTATAAAAATTCTAACAGACCTGTTTTTTAGAGGACACCATTTTGCTGTTTGACCACCTATAATCAATTAAAAAAACATTTCAGTGTATGAAATCATTATTGAAGAAACTTTTTGTCGCGTAAAAGAGATTATATACGCCTTAGTTTAGAAAATATACCTTAATAATTTTCGTCTTTCCACTCAGAAACACGTTCAAAGCAGACACGATGGTGAAAGAGGGCCGTCTTCCCATGATTCCACTGTCAAGTACCCGTATTTATGTGAATGCGCATGTTCACATTTTTGCGCGAAACTTCAAAATGGCGCCTTACAGAAGCGCAATTTTACATTGGTGACAACAAATTTGAACGTTTTAAAATGACTCAATCGATCGTGGTTCAAGGTAATAACTTGCCAATACTTCAAAAATTTTGTCCTTTTTTAATTTTTGATTTTGATTTTAATCATTTTGGTTTTTTTTTTTTGCAGTGGGACAATGTGGAAATCAAGTGAGTGAATTTTGTTTTTGTTTACTGTACATACTTATGAGAACCGTATGAGGGACTTCTTGATCTGGTATGATCCTATGATCTGGAGAATTTTTTAATTTAGTGACGATAAGATCAGTGTCGGTAAACTTTTCATGTGCCATTTTTTGTATTTTTCTCCTTTTGTAAGTCGAAGTCTGCTATTTCTAAAAATTTACTTATTTCAAATTTGTTTTACTGTTTGGTGTAGGGTTATGTGCCCTCATAAAGCTTCAACTACGTAATTGTAATATTTTAAAAAAATTGTATTTTTACCTCCCGCCTTGATTAGCTACGATGCTATTTTATGGGTAGGGAAAAGTATACCCTGTATTTATGTGTCATTTAAGCGGTGATAAGCTTGAAAACTGTTTTTATTTGTTTGGTTTGTTAGTTTTTATTGTTTGTTTGTTCGTTTGCTTTTTTTTTTGTCCTTATATGTTCTATGAATATCAATACTTTTAATGAGTGAAATTCTATGAATATGTATGTTATTATCCATGTTTCCCTGTCTCGATCTAATTAGATTGGTTGCCGATTCTGGGATTTGGCTTTGAGAGAACATGCCAGCACAAATAAGGTACATTGCTTGCTAATTTTAAAGAAGTCAAAACAATATGAACAGTTACATGTTAATTGTCAGTTAAGTACTGGCTATTCTGTTACTGTTCCAGAATGGATTATTTGACGAGTCCCTTAACAGTTTCTTCCGAAATGTTGATACAAGGTATGCTGTGCAAAATGTGATTTTTTTGTGTGTTTCACATCAAAGATTTACATAGTTATTTTCTTGAAATTAAATAGTTCCAGCAAAAAATTTTTTTCTTTTTTTTTATTATTTAGATACAAAAATCCAGTGGATATTCCTTTGGGAAATGCAAAGCAGAAGATAAAGTCATTAAAGGCCAGGGTATGTAGATTATAATAAGCCAGATTACATCGCCTGATAGGTTTTTT